CAAAGACTGTAGTTAAATACTCAGGCGAATTCATTGGCTCCCACAAAATACATGTGACACTGTCTGTGGTAACGTCTCCTGTTGCTGTAACCATCTACAACTTCCTTTAGCTGTGGCTTCTGGATTTTGTACAAACAAAATCCAGCTTGCTAATGCGCTGAACACACGTTTCTACAGTTGGTGTGTGTGTGTGTATGTACACCATCGATTTGGGGGGCAAAAAAAAAGAGTCATTTTAAGCATTTTGTTTCTTAGCAGGGAATTAACCCGGAGAAAAATGCTATTAAATATAAGGTACAATTCACAGAGGAGTTTATAGATCACAGAGAAAAGCCTGAAAACCATGTAACATGGGCAGCCCAGAGATGCTTGGGACCATTATTCGGTCACATTATTTTTTTCTGTGAAGAACATCATTCCTTCCTGATGAAACAAGCCCTCTAAGGCAATTAGGCAATGAGAAGGTAGCTTTTAGATTTGTGCTTTGAGATGATAAAAACTGAACATGTAGTGTGTGCCTGGCCACCTTGCAATTCTCACAACAAAGGCTATTATTCTAAAACATAAAGTTTGGTGGGGTTTTTTTTCCCCCTTTTGTTCTGATGATTCACATTTACAATTACTAAAGGTATCAGATGACAGCTTGCATGTCTCCGTGGACCACTTTCTGAACACTGTTAATCTCCCTATTCAAAAAAAGGTGAACAACTAAAAATTACCGTCATCTTTTCTTAAATTTGCTTCTTGACTGCCCATGCCAGTGTGAACAGTTCCATTTTAAAATAAATGGAACCAGCTAATCTTACGTCTATAAAACACAAAGTACAGGCTTCACTACCACCACCAACAAAAAAACCAGGTGACAAGACACATCACGACTTAGACATCCAACGCTGATTTGTTTGTAATTGCCGGAAATGTTCTGAAATGATGCTGGTAACAGTGAATATTATTTCACAAACCGAGGAAGAGACGGGCAGGAATAACAGAATTTATCCAAGATCACAGGCTGTCACTCTATCAATCAGAAAGCAAAAGTACCCTTTGTTAGGGGTCTGATTTCTCATAATTATTACTGAAAATCTTGTCAAACATCAATTTCTTTTCCAATGACCCCTGTAATTTGCCA